GTTTTGGATTTATCAACCTATGAGAGATGGGTAATCCAGCTCCAATAAGTAGAAACCCTGAACAGAGATAGGTTTCTATTAACGTTTGCATATCCAGCTCTACAAAAAAGACTGAAGGTAAATCATCTGGTTGCGTGAACAGGATGAAACAAAACAAAGCAGCTTCAACTATAGCTTTTTAACTATTAATTACATACTGAACTCATGATGAAAGGGGGCAGCTTGGGACAGACTTGAAAGAGCTCCATGTTTTTCTTGAGCAAATGTTTTAGAAGGTCTTGTATCAAATAAGCAATTTATGGCATTTTGAGTTCTGTTCATATGTTGCTGTTTTTGAAGAACTGGCTTTGTTTTCTTGTTCTTGTTTCTTTCCCATACTTTTATCTCATTAAGAGGAGTATCAACACTTATTTTTTTCCACTTAAAGCATTGACAATATGATACTGCAGCTTCAATGCGTCACTGTTGGGGGTACTGTTATAATTAGCTGTTGTACAGTGAAGATAGAGTGAACAGAAAAGGATAAATTCTAGTGCAGCCAGGGGGGTGATGTCCGGGATCCGCCTGCAAATCCAGCGTCTCTCTCTCTCTCTCTCTCTCTCGCTCGGATGGTTTAGGAGGGTGGACAGGCAGGTGAGCTTCAAGGGGGAGGACTAGTTCTGGCAGGTGATCAGAGGAATCCAGCTCCCTTGTGGCTTAAAGTTTTTCTGGCTTGGGTAACTGGTTCTAAAGGGAAAACAGAGACACAGTATTAGATCTGGCTCGGAGGAAACTTGGAGTAGAGTTAGTTTGGTTATGTACCGCGATCGAAGCGAGAAAGAACTGATGCTCTCCTCCTGGTCTCTGCTCCTTAAGAGGGGGCTTTAATCAGCAGTGATGAGGGGCATCTGCCCGTCACGCCCTGCAGAGATGGGAGAGCGAAAGACTACCCAGCCCTGCACACAGGCCTGGAGTATGATAGTTTCTACTAAATCTATATGGGTTGGGATTTTAACAGCCACTGCCTTTGAGATAGATGGAACTGATCTGTTGGAATTACCTCTATTCCAGGGGTCTTTATTTCATCTCCACATTAAGTGACCCATTAACTATACATATGACAAGTGCAAAGAAGGATTTGGGATTTAGAAATGAAAACTGTTGGTCTCTGAGGGCATTAGATGTAATGTTAAGTAAAAGAATAACAGTGTTTAGAAGACTTAAAAGCAGCAGAGTCTGAATATAACTTCAATACTATACGCAGTCATTTGTACAGTGGTGGACCGAACCTTTACCTTTATTCTGCTTGGAAAAATTATTTTCCCAGATATATACTTTATTAACTTCAGGAGTTCAATAGCTTTGCAATCCTTGAAGTACTTTTTCTCAAGCAGAATTATTGTTTGCTTTGATTAATTTAATGATAATCGCACCTGGCCTCCCTGCTGTTTTATTTTTCGTTTCGTCTCAGAGCCCCTTTGCAAATTTGTATTCCCATTAAATCCTGATGTGTGATTTTTAGAATCATCGTGATCTGAACACCTTAGCAACAAAAGGAACAAAATAAAAGAAACAACCAGAATACTAACAGGTATGAACAACATGATTCCTACTAAATAATACGTGTTCAGAATCCTCCAAAAAATGCAACAACAATGGACATGAGTGCTGGTGGTAACAACATGGTGAAAATGATACACCATTAACAGCTAACAACCGTGAAGGGAATATATTACTGTGAGGCTTGTGATCAACGCTCATTGACTCTAAATTATTGACCTGATTAAACCCTTTAAAAAGCATTGTAAGTAGAAGTGCAGTGTCAGCTATCTTTGTTCACACCAAACTCCATAAGGAGTGCATTCTAATATCCCTGTTTTCATTCTAGCTATTTTGTACACTTTGCAGTCTCATTCACTATGGCTCCTTCCCCTCTGCAATTCTTCTTTCTCTCCTTTTTTTCTTATCATACGAGTTTCATATCAGGGAACCCTGTTTTCTCATTTTCCTCCCACATGCATTGGGATTCTGACATCTTTAATCCATTCAGCTCACCTGCATTACCACTTTATGTTTTCTATTTATGTGCAATCAAACCACTGCAGGGGGAAAAAATCAGTGCAGCAGCTCATGTTCTGGCTGTTGGTTCACATAATGGTGGCAGGAACACCAGCAAGGTTTGAGATTAGGGTGAGAGAAGTGGGAGAAATTATAATGCCAACGACTCACATGAATAGCAGTGTTTTGGGGGCATTTCTCATGGTTGTTGCTTGGCTTTATCTGTTGTTCTTTCTTGCTCCTATTTTCTTATTCCTTTGCAAACCTGAGACCCTTATTATACAGGACCTTGCAAAGGTATTCAGCCCCGTCGAACATTTCAGGCTTCAAATATAAATATAAAGATATAGAATTGTATTTTTTGTGAAGAATTACCAACAAGTGGGACACAATCATGAAGTGGATGTTTTAAACTTTTTTATCGAATTTAACAAAATTAATCAGCCCTTTTACTTTCAGTGCAGGAAATGCTTTCCAGTGAGGATCTCTGAGTTATCTGTGTGTTATCATCTCTAAATATAAATGTACGTGATCTGTAATAGTCTCAGTGGTCTGTTTAAAGTGCAGAGAGCATCAAGAAGAAAAAGGAACACACCAGGCACGTCTGATATACTGTTATGGAGAAGTTTGAAGCATATTTGAATACAAAAAAGATTTCCCAAGCTGTAAACATCCCAAGGAGCACTGTGAAAGTGATCATACTGAAATAGGAGTATCAGACCACTGCAAATCTACGAAAACCTGGCGATCCCTCAAAACGTTCAGCTCAAACAAGGAGAAGACTGATCAGAGATGATCACTCTGGATGAACTGCAGAGTTCTACAGCTGAGGTGGGAGACCATAGGATAAATCTCAGCCATATTCTGCACAAATCTGCCCTTTATGGAAGAAAGCCATTTCTTAAAGATACAGAATTTTGCATCTGTTTGCCACAAGCCACCTCGGAGACACAGCAAACATGTGGAATAACTTGCTCGGGTCAGATGAAATCTTTTTGGCAACAATGCAAAACATTATGTTTGGTGTTAAACAGTGTTGTTTTTGACAGCCAGCCTAGATTAGGTCTTAGTCTTTGGGATGAAAACTATTATTAGTCTTAGTGGCATTTTAGTCATTATGATATGTGATAGTTTTAGTCTGTTTTAGTCTAATAAAACTTAAAAAGGTTTTAGTCAGTTTTATGTTGCAAAAAAAACTGAACCTTTATAATTTCGTATAACATCCAGATCCTTTACCAGACTGACAGCTCTTGCCTAGATTGCCGGGGATAGAATGCTGCCGTGCCGTTCATCATTGCTGTTGGGCAGAAAACTTTGATTTATAGAATTCAAATAAACTTTTTTATGACTATATGCCCTATTTTATACAAAAGTGTCTCACAAAAGCAGTGAAAAGAGCAGATCTAGATGAACACATCATATTGGTTGAAATAGCAGACAGACAAGCTAACAAAATGGACAATAAAAGAATGGTTTTAAACATACAAGGTTTCCATTCAAAAGCAAAGACTTCCTGATCTGCAATAAATTATGCATTACATGCAGATCAATAAATATTAAGAACAAAAATATTCATCTTTCTACTTTGGCGATTAGATTTAAATTCACAAGGTTTTAATATAAAAAAAAATACAGAGAACATAATTGTCTTATAATGCCATCGCAATCCAGACCTAAATTGAATGAATATACTAACTAAAATGTTGACATATTCAAAAGAAACATAAAAAATGTATTAATAACAATAGAAGGAAACATTTACATCATATTTAAATAGACAGAAACGAGAGCTATAAGAGAGAAATATTCAAAGATCTATGTACCTTTTCACCTGCACTGTAAAAAAAAACGGCCTCATTTTACGGTAAAAAACTGGCAGCTGAGTTGCCAGAAGTTTACCGTCTTTATACGGTAAAATTCTGGCAACCAAAACTGCCAGTTTTTTACCGTATTTCTAAAATACGGTAAAATTCTGGCAACCAAAGCTGCCAGTTTTTTACCGTATTTCTAAAATACGGTAAAATTCTGGCAACCACAGCTGCCAGTTTTTTACCGTATTTGCTAAATGCAGGATTTTACCGTATTTTTAATATACGGTAAAATTCTGGCAACCACAGCTGCCAGTTTTTTTACCGTATTTGCTAAATGCAGGATTTTACCGTATTTTTAAAATACGGTAAAATTCTGGCAACCACAGCCGCCAGTTTTTTACCGTATTTCTAAAATACGGTAAAATTCTGGCAACCACAGCTGCCAGTTTTTTACCGTATTTGCTAAATGCAGGATTTTACCGTATTTTTAATATACGGTAAAATTCTGGCAACCACAGCTGCCAGTTTTTTACCGTATTTGCTAAATGCAGGATTTTACCGTATTTTTAAAATACGGTAAAATTCTGGCAACCACAGCTGCCAGTTTTTTACCGTATTTGCTAAATGCAGAATTTTACCGTATTTTTAATATACGGTAAAATTCTGGCAACCACAGCTGCCAGTTTATTACCGTATTTTGTAAATGCAGGATTCTACCGTATTTTTAAAATACGGTAAAATACCGTACTTCCTAAAATATTTAAAAAAAAATAAAATGTGGTTTTGCCGTAGTAAATACGGTCATGCTGACTGAGGCATAATATCTCCATGAGTGAAAAACACATCCAGACTGGATGATATATTGACATTTTATTGTAAACCCTCCCCCCCAAAAAAAACTTATGGTAAATTACTGGTCTCTGTTCCTACCAGAATTTTACCATACAAATTATTGTACAACACACAAGGAAGTGTAACTTGTCAAGCATTTCTATACAGAAAGTTATAAAGAAAATAATTTCTAATTAAACAAAAATACAGATTACGAGTAATCCACTTAAAGAAACAATTTCTATTTAAAAAGTCAAGTTAAAAAAAGAACTGATTCTATTTTCTGTCCAGTTTCCTCACGGTATTACTGAGATCTGGAAAACATAAACAAAACAAACAGTATGTGTCCACATAAGAGATAACATATTGTAGAAGACAAAATGGTGATAAAAGGATTCTTGTTCTGGGTTGAGAGTCACAAGTCGCTGAGATCAGACGTTGCTCAGGATGGTTGTAGTCTTCCCAGTCACAGGTTGAAATTGAGACTCGCATGTTGTCAATCGGGTGTTTCCTCTCTGCTGGAAAACAAAAAGAAAAAGTTAGAAAGATGCACTACATGAACATCTTATTCGCTTAAATGTTTGTTTCACCTTTGTTGACTTGCATATGGACACAGGTACTTCAACCAGGTGGTGCGATCATTTCTGACTGAAAATTCAGTAGTTAAACCTTTGTTTGTTGTCAACAGGTGTGATCCTCTGGTCTGCAACCAGACAAAATACACAAACAAAAAACAAATAAAAACAAATATAACTGTTTTAGGCAATTTATGAAATAGATACTCATCATTTATCTGAGTCTCATGAAGGCCAATAGGTTGTCTTCAACCATTTATGTAAGTTACATTTTCTGCAAGCTAGCAGAAACAAAGCTGTAAATGTGAACACTTCATACAGGCAAACAAATTGATACAGCTGAGACAATTTATGCTAGGTTAGTTTTTCTCAGTCACTTTTGGTGCATTTCTCAAGTCATTGTTGGCATTTACAAAACAGTAAGCGCATTTCTCAAAACAATTTGTAGAAACAGGAAAAATAGCATTTGTTTGCTTTCAAAATCCTTAGTTCAGCTCTTAAAATTCTGTCTGTTAACATATCAGTGACTCAAAATAATAAGTTATAGTCTCTCTATGTACAGATAAGACAGTCAAATTGATTAGTCATGAGAAGAGACTACAAAAGGATCATTTACGCCAGTGTTTCTCAACCCTGCTCCTCACCACCCCCTGCTCTGCATGTTTTAGATGTGCCTCTACTCCAGAACAGCTGATTCAAATGATTGGATGACAATCAAGTACTGCAGAAGCTTGTTAATCATCCAGAGATACAATTCAGGTGTGTGGCAGAAGGGAAATACCTAAGCCTGCAGGACAGGGTGACGCTGAAGACCAGGATTGAGAAACACTGATTTACGCTTTTGCTATAATTTATTCATGGAACCATGCCTTGGTGATTCAGAAAGAAAAAGACAGAAATGCAGAGAACAAAAAAAGTAGAAAAGGAGCCACAGGACAATCTCCTCAAGGAAAACTGTACAGTGCTGTAGAAATTACATTACATTTTAATTTCCATAGTCACTTTGTTCCTTAACTCCACTGAGGATCTTTTTTCCTCAGTGGGGTTAAGGAATGAACAGTAGGGTGGGAGGACCTCCATCAGCGTCATGTTGTGGGTCTCAGCCATGTCCTGATGTTGGACTGATGGAAACTGGCAGATGTCCTCAGCCTCTTCTGACTCTTCTTCTGCTTTCCTCCTCAGCCTCACTTCTCTTCTTCTCTCTGGCTGTTCACTCTGTCCAGATACTTGTTCATCAGTTCTCAGACATGTAACATTGTGTTGTGTTCTGACTATATAGAGCATAATGTTGCCAACTGATGGTTCACAAGATGCACCTCCAATCTGTTTCAGAAAACTGGTTGATTGTTGGTTGAGCTAATGGTTCATACACTGACCTGTTAGAGAAACTCAGGACTCACTTGGGAGCAATTTACCAATTCAGGACAGATTTAGAAAATAATAGAATATAAATTAATTAATATATTATTCACATTATGACAACTTTAAGACTTATGCATGTTAAGACTTACACAATGAACTGATGCTATTTTGGAAGTTGAGAATTCAACACAGACACGTTGTTGTCCTGTTGTCCTCATTTTCTGTATACACCCTTTATCCTCCGGGTCAAAATGACCCGTCTTCACTAAACCCCCAATATAAGCAGCTTAATTGAATTTTAAACACCAAATTCTATCTTGTATATTGTCACTCACCACAAAATGTGTGAATACTTGAGTTTTCCCTCTCCACTTGAATTTCTATAGCTTAAGAAAAAAAATGTGCAAAATGAGTTTCGAATGCATTTTTATTCATCACAGTGACTAATTTTCTTTTACTTTTCTCCAGTGAACAAGAGGATGTACAATACAAAAATATGAAAAATAACATAACCCATTCAACTAATTGGCACATGTAGGGCAGTATGCAAGTGCACAGTCTTTGCAGATATATTTCTTACACCTGCAGCACACAGTATGTGTTTTACAGTCTGAGGGCAGAACTGACATCTCTTCTTCTTACTTGGCTTAGCTGGGGAAGTGGCTGTGGTAGATGGATCCTCAGGTTGATCAGGAGCTGCTGCACTCTGAATAGCTTTCACAACTACTGCTGAGGCTTCTGTGCGGGGGACATGCTTCCTTCTTTCAATGAGTGGAGTTACAAGTGCCTTTCCTAGCTGCTCCAGGAACACCCTCCTCTTGTTGTGCTTATGAGACATCCAGGTTGGGTTGATCTCTATCCAAATCACAAAGGCATTGTAGGAGGACACATCAATGATGTTGTGGAAGATGACCAGGGGCCAGCGGGCAGTCATTCTTCTGCAGCTATATGCTCCAATCACCTTATCAAGGTGTCCACACCTCCTTTGTTTCGGTTGAATTCCAGGATAATGATTGGCTTCCTGTCCTCACGGTCACTAGTGTCGCCGTCTTTGTGCAGTGTGCTCAGAAGAACTACATTCTTGTTTTTCTTTGGGAGGTAGGAAACTAGAGTGGTGGTGGGTGTGAAGGCAAACTTTGAGGAGAAGACCTCTCTCTCCTTTGACCCAAGCAGTGCAGGTGGGAGCTCAGGCTTGTTCTTTCGAACTGTACCAACCATGGTGATCTTCCACTTCAGGAGCTGCTGTCCGAGTTCATAAGAGTTGAAGAAATTGTCACATGTCACATTGTGACCCCTCAGTCCCTCTGTCACATCAAGCACAACTCGCAACCCCTGGTTCTTCTCTGGGCATCCACTGGTTGACTTCCCAGTATAGACTTGCATTTTCCAAGCATAGCTTGATTCGGAAGCCACCCATGACTTGATCCCATATTTTGCTGGCTTGCTGGGCATATACTGCTGGAAAGGACAACAACCTTTGGACAAAAGACATTAGCATCAGTGATTAGTATCAGTGTCACAGAAAATAGTCAAAGAAATCAATAGTGAAAATCACTTTTATTACAAATATGAAAACAGATTACCTCTAAATGGAACCAGTTGCTCATCCACTGTTACATCAGGCTCTGGATTGTAGAGGTAGGGTAACCGCTCCACCCACTTGTCCCATACCTCTCTTATGGCTGCAAGTTTGTCTGTCATACATCTTGCTGGTCTTGATTCACGGTCATCAAATCGCATCAGTCTTGAGTAGGTGTGAAAGAGTTTGAGTGGCATTGTGGCTCGGAAAATTGGCCTTCCACTCTCTGCTTACTTCTGCTACTGATTGATCTGAGACACAACTAAAACTTTGTAACATTTTATGGTTTGTAAATAACTCTGTGACCTTGATTTCAACTCCATTTGCCTCACGGGTCATTTTGACCTACAGCTTACATGGAAATGAGACTAAAAGCAACACTGAACTTTTTCTTAAAATCTCAAGTTAAAAAAATTACATTTAGGGGATTTTGGGGGGGGGGGGGTTAACACAGTGGCGGGTCATTTTGACCCGAGGACAACAGGAGGGTTAACATATTTTGATCAAGACGATAAAAGCAAATTACAATTATAAAAGCATAGAAGTGTACATAACCAGCTACATGATGTACAAAAGCAAAACTTGCAAAACTAATTTTTTGATGTGCAGAAGTGACACAGTAATTTGAAGATTGAACAGGTAGTTTTAGGAATTTCAATTCTGTTCTGAGAGATGCACCCAAACTGAGAAAAGCTGTAAAATATTAATATTTAAATTCTCTTATTTTAAAATCCTTCAACTGTCATGGACCCAGTGACTTTAGTGCAAGTATTTTGGGGGTGAGAGTCAAGACGTCAAAGGAAAATATTAAATAATATCTCTGATGCCAAGCTTTATACTTCTAAGTATTACCAAAGTATTGAAACAAAAGCTAACATGTTCTTCAGAGATTTAACTTGCATGCATGAACATTTCACACTCAAAGTAATTCAAATTAATTATTGAACCAAACTTGGAAAAAGTTGCTTCTGCCATTAACAATAACTTTAAGCACATGTAGTCTAAAGTAGACCAGAAATATAATCTATGCAGCCGTTCCTACAGAAACATTAATGGAAGTGTTGCATCTGTGAAGATTAAATGTTCCGTATAGTAAAAATATATAGCTGCAGTGCATATACATAAACAGCATGGCTCAGAAACTACACATTTCTTTGTCAGTTGGTTAAAGTTAGCTAACTTCAGTTAAAACCGTGAAAGGGACTCACCTGTGATGTGTTGCCCTTCTCCTCCTGAACGTGCAAAAATAGCAGAAATTTGATTTCAAAGACAGTAGCAGCATCTTGACAAGGACCAGGCCTACTGGGCTCTCAGCACCCTAGTTAGCAACCTTAGTTAGCACAGTGACTTTACTGTGTTGAGTTCAGGACACCACTACAGGAACAGAGTTAAAAGAATCTTGCTGCTGATACTGAAGGATCAAGCAGCAATGCAAACTAGATAATTATTTGTTTACATGACAAATAACAGTCTCCATTTACTGTAAACCCTGCTATTTATCACAATAACAAAATGAAAAACTCTCTAGACAAGGGGTCCCCAAACTACAGCCTGTGTCATTTGGTCTGGCAATGCTGGATCCAGCCTGCCTCCTCATACCAGAGAGCATTCAGTGTATTTTTTTCATATATTGTATTTTCTGGTTTGTGGATTTTTCTTCAACCACCAGGGGGCTCTTGAACTTTCCCTCAAATATATACTAGTCAGTCCCAGTCACCGTTTCACTCACGGTTTTTTCCATTTCCATTCTGGGTAAAAATCTATCTAAAAGCGACCGCGAATGTGTCGTAGTCAGCAATCCCCCCCCCCCCCCCCCCCCCCCCCCCCTCGCCCCGTCGACACTTTCAAAGACAGAACAGCACACACACCCCCCCAAACCCCCCCCCCCGCCGACAACGGCCCCCAAGCAGAGAAAGGAACAGCTATGTGGCCCTCGCAGGAAAAAGTTTGGGGACCCCTGCTCTAGACTATTCTCTACTAATAGCACAATACTTAAAACCAAGTGTGGGATTTGTGAAACTTCAATGATGGGTGACTTTACAACTTGTATGATTTTGGATAACACTAGAATTGTTCTTTATTGAAGTTTCACAAATCAGATAAAGGTTTTACAAACCCCACACTTGGTTTTAAATATTCTGATATGAGTTGAGAATAATCTAGTCCAGATTTGAACAGTCTAGGTGTTGTAGTTTTTTAGCTAGAGTAAATTAAAGATGCTGATTGTAGTGAAAAATTAGGTGGAATTGCCCTTTAGCCATTTCCCAAATTGGAAGCAGCAATTGGAAACCAACTTCAGCTTCATTCAAGCAAGAGGGGCTAACATACAGTTCTCTTAATGTTAATGATCAAATACTCTCATAAGTGATGGTGGCGTTGGCTGTAGGAGTTTGCTTTGCAATCGGTGGATCGCCAGATCGATGCCTGGTCTACTGCTGAGATTTCAGTTTGGTGTATTAAAGGCATTATTAAAAAAGAAACCAGAATATCACACCAGCATTCTGTTCTTTGTAAAAAATTCTTTTGCAGTCTTGTTTACGCTTTTACATTGTAGATCTAAACATCAGCAAAATTTGTAATTTTGGCTGATTGCTACTGTTAAGTTTAGGGTAATTAACTGCTGGCAATATTACAATTTTTTAAGAACTTTACAATTACTTATATTTTTACACTATATTTCTGTATTTTCTACATTCGTGACTGTCACAATTATTTAGGATATATATTTATTCAGTTATGATAATGCCATGTATTTTCTACGGCAGTATAATGCTGTGAATATTCTGGTCAGTAACTGCTGGCATTTTACAATTTTTTACCGTAAATTTACTGACTTTCTTTGCAGTTTCGACTTACGGTAGTTCCATGTAATTTCTACGGTAATGCAATGTTTTTGGATACGACGGTCAAAAACTGTTGGTCTTTTACCATTTCTTACCGTAAATTTACTGACTTTCTTTGCAGTTTCGACTTACGGTAGTTCCATGTAATTCTACGGTAATGCAACGTTTTTGGGTACGACGGTCAAAAACTGTTGGTCTTTTACCATTTCTTACCGTAAATTTACTGACTTTCTTTGCAGTTTCGACTTACGGTAGTTCCATGTAATTTCTACGGTAATGCAATGTTTTTGGATACGACGGTCAAAAACGGTTGGTTTTTTACCTTTTTTTACCGTAAATTTACTGACTTTTTTTACAGTGTGGGTCTTTATCCAAAAATAAATAGAATTCATTGAGATATTTTCTTTGGATATAATTTAGTGATTCCTTTTGGTAGAAATTAAAGAATGTTTAGCATCACCTCCTGTGAACTGGAAGAAATGAAATAGTGACAAAAGGATTTTTTTACGCTTGGAAGAGGATGATCAACCACATATAGTTTATGAAGTAGCGAGAGCTGGAAGAGCCATACTGCTGAGAGCGAACCATCAGTGTGGAGCGAGAAGTGCAGAGTGGGAGCTGCCGCCCTATGGTGGTGCCACTAGTGGGAGAACGGGGGTGCCTATTGGAGTCAGCGGAGGAGATGTATCCCTAGGAGAGCAGTAGGCCCCCCAGTCCTTTTCTCCCAATCCCCAGACTGCTGGGGGTTGTCTGGTCCAGGTGTGGGGTGGCAGGCCGGGCCCAAGAAGATTTTTCAGAGAGCTGGTTGACCTAACTTATACAGTAAAAGTTACCCTTTGTTGTACTACGATTGGGCCTTGCAGAAATAATCATACTTTCATCCATCCATCTTCTCCCACTTATTCCGTCAGGGTCGTGGTGGGGCCAGTGCCTATCTCTGGCAGCCTGTGGGCAAGAGGCAGGATACAACCTGGACAGGTTGCCAGTCTGTCGTTGGGGAACACAGAGACATTGACCCAGGTACAGACAGTCTCTCACCGTAAAATGGGAATCGAGCTAGAAACATTGTTCCTTTAAGGCTTCAGTGGTATAAACTGCGCCACCATGCAGCCCAATATTCATACTTTTCTTTACATTTTGTCATGTTAAAACACCAGACTTCATTTAGTTTTAATCTGGGATCCTCTGGAAGTCTAACCAGTTTGCTTCAGATTAGTTTATAGTTCCTACCTATGTTATTTAGTGATCCAGTAGGAATTCAAGAGATCGGCTTTAATGATACTGTGAGCATTAACTTTTAATTCAAATTAAGTGTGCTAAACCGGCTTCATGTGGGCAGCAATAAGGTTAAGTCTCCATTGCACTGTAAGGTTCAACTCTTTCCCCATTTTATCGCCAGTCATTCTCTATAACCTTTTGTAACTTAAAGAGACTTATTTTATTATTACTTTAATCAGAGTGTCAGCTAAGTGGAACAGAGCTGTTCTTATTTTTAGCACAAGAAAAAAAAAATCATTTTCGAGTCACTTCAAAGTCACAAATAAGTTAACATCAGGTAAGAAGTGAACTAACTTTACCACTGATAAACCAGAAGTGAGCTCTAGTTAATTTGATAAGACATCTCTGCCCTGCCTATTTCTGAAAAGTCACTTCAGCATTTAGTCATTTTCTCCTTCTTTTTAGATTTCCCTTGTTTTAAAATATGGCCTCCGTCAGTGTTTTGTTTGGGCTCATTATTTCATTATTTTCAGCTTCTTACCATTCACCTGGTTTTCTGTGAAAGATTTACACTCATTTAATTTTTGTTTTACACTTTTTAAAATAAAGTCTGTCTCATGCTGTAACTATGGTTCAGTGGATCATCATCCTGAATCCTAAAAATTGTGTTTGATTCCAGCATATTATTGTCAGTGCAAATGTCACTGGTAAAGCGTGCATATTAAAGCCAGCAATGAGTGTGTAAATTTGTTCACATCTGTAAGTATAGCCGTTTTTATGATCGACATGAGCGGAAAAACGCAACATTAATTCTGTCATTACAAAGACATATTTAGTCAAATATATTTTTATTCCAATATTTGTCAAGCTTTCAGATATTACAGAGAAGCTATGCTTTCTAAATGCTCGGAAGACCTGATCTACTTATCAGTTGAACGGATCATTAATTTTCTTCAATGATTGAATTTGCAGATTCAATCAATTTAGAGCATTTGCACAATCAGTTATGCAGATCATATGCTGATGATCAGAGGGACATTTTTTTTCTGGGAGGGGGATATGCAAATGTGATAACTTCCAACCTGCAATGGAATTAATCATCAAAGTGTAAACAGTTTCAGATCAAATTTTTCCATCTATATTTGAGAGCAGGTATGCCCAAAGTCTGTCCTTAGGGGCCGCTGTCTTGCAGGTTAAATACGTTTTCCTGCTTCAGCAAAGCTGATTTTCATTGACAGCTGATTAACCAGTTTTTGCTGAGCTGCAGTCATCAGAA